TTCCTGCGTTGCAAGCCCACCTCTAAAGACGCTGAACCCTAAACCCTAAAACTTTCTCAGCATGAAAGGTTTAGGGTTTAGGGTTTAGGGTTTAGGGTTTAGGGTTTAGGGTTTAGGGTTTAGGGTTTAGGGTTTAGGGTTTAGGGTTTAGGGTTAGGGTTTAGGGGATTCACCCTCAATGAATTTGGGTCCGGAGCCTAGGGAACTACCAAGCCATCCCTCCATCAGCAGGCACCAGGTAGGCTTGCGAGGTTGCAGTGTTTGAGCAAGTGAAGGGCTTATTGGTCCGGCAGTCAGGCTTGCCTGCACCGATGTTGATGCTGACTAGCAGCAGTTGGGGCAAATAGCCTCCGAACTTGAACCAGTAATGGCAGCTGCGAATCGGGGCGTAGATCCCTAAACCCTTAACACCCTTGAAACCCTTAAAGCCCACAAAGCCCTTCTTATAGGGTTCTTAAGGGAGGGCTCAAGGGGGGTATATAACCCAAGGTTCCCTAATACTCCCTACTAATTACCTCGTAAGGCTTTCTAAGCTTCCCTAGGTACCTACCCCCCCCGAACCCCCCTCCCGAAATAACCCTATAATCTTAAGGCCCTGAAAGCCTTTGAAGCCTTTGATCAAGGGGTTCTTCCTTGGACCCTTAAGGTTGTACCCTTGGGTTTTGGGGTCCCTTTTTTTAAGGATCACAAGGGCCACATCAGGAGCACATTAAGGGGAACCTTTAGGGGTACCACCTTAGGGGTGCGAGTCTGAATCCCTTGATTTGAAGCGCAGAAAGCCGAGCCTTAATCCCTTGATTTGAAGCGTAAGCAGCCCAACTAAGGCCTTAACAAGCCCCCACATGAGGCCGTTTAGAAGTCCTGATGAGGGAACATGAGGGGTGGGGGGCCTTACACCCCCTCCCTCCCCCTCGGTTTAGGCCTAAACCCTGGCCCAAACCCTAAACCCTAAACCCTAAGGTTTACGGTCTAGGGTCTAGGAGTTTATGAGCTTAGGGTCTGTAGGCCTGCGGCCGGCCCTTGAAACTACCCTTGGAAACATGCACTAGACCCAAGAGATACCCAGGAGTACACTATCCTTTCTGGTTTAAAGGAGCTTATAATTAAACCTAAACCAGGACCCGAACCATGAAAAAAGGGAATAAGGGCTACTCTGGATCCTAGTGCATTTCCAAAGTCAGATCAATGCCAAGCCTGTGCACCCTAAATACCTTAGATGCCGTCTTGCCCCTCAATACCTTCAATACCCTAACACATATATAATACTCTAAATGCCCTGTAACTACCCCCGCACCCCCCCCCCCCCCAAAAAAAAAAAAAAAAAAAAAAGAAACATACTAATAACATAATAAAAATAAAGCCGCGTCTCCACAGGAATTCGAATGCCGGTCTTGTGAAAGCTAAGCCCGGCCGAGACGGAGGGAAGATCGGCGTAGAAGACGTCGCCTGGAGCTGGCGGTTTCTTACAGTACCCTAAGGGTCCATGTACCTACATAGGGAATGCTTGGGCCTTCAAGTACCTCCTATTTAGGGATTTTAGGGCCCAAGTACAGAATAATGAGGTACATGGACCCTTAGGGGCAGGGCTTTCAGAATTTAGGGCTTTCTATGACGTCCTTGGGGTTTAGGGTTTTTGAATTTATAAAGTAGGGTTCTGGGGCTGGGTGGCATTTGGGCAAATTTAGGGTTTAGGGTTTAGGGATAGGAGTTATTCCAGAAGTTGGGCTTCAGGGTTTAGGGTTCAGCGTAGAGGACGATTGGTGGGGCTGACCGGGTTTAAAAAAGTATGGCTAACCTAAACCCCAAACCCTCACCCCAATAACCTCCATCCCCAAACGAGCAGGTGCCCAGTGTCGGAATCGGGCACATGGGATTTCCCTTAGCCCAAACCCTACGAGGGAACCTAACCCCCTCAGCAAGGGAATAGGCGTACCCCTGCCCTCAATACTAAAGCCCTATAGGACTCCATGTACCTAAATAGTAAGTAGGGAATACTTGGGTCTTAACGTACTTCCTAGTTAGGGACATGTACCTAAATGGTAAATAGGGACTACTTGGGTCTTAACGTCCTATTTAGGGACTCTAAGGGACCCAAGTACATGACACGTAGGGAAGCCCGGGTGCACTCCCCCACCTCCTCGCCACTGCGGGTCGTGGTTGTGTCCGTCCCCCTGGCTGGTCGGCTTTTAGTGGCATTTTGAGATGTCTAAGCCCTTCCCCTAGTGTGAAGTAAACCTCTCCCTACCCTAATATGGAATGCTCTCATTCTATTGACAGTACAGTATATCGGGGGGGGGGGGGTATGTAATATTAGGGTGTAGGGAGGGGGGGCGGGTAGGACTTAGGGGCTAGGGTTTGGGGGCCGTCGCCCCTTTCTGGTGAGGAATATCCCAATAAAGTTCATTCAACGCTGGGTGCTGCAAGGCAACCCTAACAGCACCCCCCCCCCCCCCCCCCCCTTCCCCGAGGTTTTGGGGTTTAGGGTTTAGGGCCCACCCGCCTGTCCGGAAACTTTATGTAAGGGCTACCGTCAAGAAACCAAACAGCAACTTGCATGCTGATGCTTTGCGGCCTGCCATAGGAATCTCTAGACCCGGGCGTAACCTAGGAAAAAAAGGATACCCTTTGTGGCTTTAAGGGGATGACAAGGGAACCTCAAAGGAAAAAAGGGCCTACTGCCGGTCCCAGATCTTTAGGAGCCTTAGACTCTAGCCTTAAACCCTACCTCAACTCCCCCAGAAACCCAAACATGATCAGGGTGCGCCTCCCTCCCCACCTACCTTGAACCCCCTGAACCTCCCTGAACCCCTAAACCAAAAGACTAAACTCTAAACCCTGAACCCTAAACCGTAAGCCCTAAACCCCCTTAAAGCCGAGAAGGGTCGATGCCTGCACCCTAAACCCTCACCCCTAAAGCCCTACACCCCCTCAACGTTCTGAAGGATCAACGAGCTGTGGCGCGCGCCTTGGTCACCAAGTAGAGGCCTTGCCGTTTTCGAGTTTAGGGCTTAGGATTTAGGATTCAGGGTTTAGGGTTCAGGGCGGGGTTTAGGGTTTAGGATTTGGGGTTTAGGATATAGGGTTTAGGGTTTAGGGTTTAGGGTTTAGGGTTTAGGGTTTAGGGTTTAGGGTTAGGGTCACCAGTAGAAGCCTTTGCGACCGAGGCCGAGGCTGGTGCCAAAGGCTTGTGGGTGTTTAGGCTGCATTCTAGGGCCTGAACCCTAATTTATAAACCCGAAACCCTAAACCCTAAACCCTACACCCTAAACCCTAAACCCTAAACCCTGCGTCCAGAAAAATCACCCAGCTGACGCTCATCATATGCTGGCCTCGGGGGCCAAGGATATGGCAAGGGTCTGGAGCTTAGGGGGCCCTTAGAACGGAAAAATGCCCAGCTGATGCTCATGATGCTCGCGTGCCGCCTCGTCACATCCGCGCAATCACTGGGGCGAAAGGAATTTTGCAAGCGTCTGGAGCTTAGGGGGCCCTTAGAACGGAAAAATGCCCAGCTGATGCTCATGATGCTCGCGTGCCGCCTCGTCACATCCGCGCAATCACTGGGGCGAAAGGAATTTTGCAAGCGTCTGGAGCTTAGGGGGCCCTTAGAACGGAAAAATGCCCAGCTGATGCTCATGATGCTCGCGTGCCGCCTCGTCACATCCGCGCAATCACTGGGGCGAAAGGAATTTTGCAAGCGTCTGGAGCTTAGGGGGCCCTTAGAACGGAAAAATGCCCAGCTGATGCTCATGATGCTCGCGTGCCGCCTCGTCACAGCTGTGCAATGACTAGGGCAAAGGGATTTGCAAGCGTCTGGAGCTTAGGAAGCCATTTGACCAGAAAAATTCCCAGCTGATGCTCATGATGCTCGCCTGCCGCCTCGTCACATCTGCGCAAGCACTGGGGCGAAAGGGAGCTTAGGGGGCCATTTGGCCGGGCAAAATGCGCAGCTGATGCTCATGATGCTCGCCTGCCGCGCCGTCACATCTGCGCAATCACTGGGGCGAAGGGATTTGCAAGAGTCTGGAGCTTCGGGGCCCGATTGACCGGAAAAATGCCCAGCTGATGCTCATGATGCTCGCCTGCTGCTTCGTCACATCTCCGCAATCACTGGGGCGAAGGGATTTGCAAGCGTCTGGAGCTTAGGGGGCCGTTTGAACGGAAAAATGCCCAGCTGATGCTCATGATGCTCGCTTGCCGCCTCGTCACATCTGCGCAATCACCGGGGCGAAGGGATTTGCAAGCGTCTGGAGCTTAGGGGGCCATTTGACCGGAAAACACCCAGCTGATGCTCGTGATGCTCGCCTGCCGTTTGACCGGAAAAATGCCCAGCTGATGCTCATGATGCTTGCCTGCCGCCTCGTCACATCTGGGGCGAAGGGATATGCAAGTGTCTGGAGCTTAGGGGGCCATTTGACCGGAAAAACACCCAGCTGATGCTCGTGATGCTCGCCTGCCGTTTGACCGGAAAAATGCCCAGCTGATGCTCATGATAATTGCCTTGCGCCTCGTCACATCTGGGGCGAGGGGATGTGCAAGTGTCTGGAGCTTAGGGGGCCATTTGAACGGAAAAATGCCCAGCTGATGCTCATGATGCTCGCCTGCCGCCTCGTCACATTTGCACAATCAGGCTTTCCTGCAGGGTTTTGGGTTCTTTGGGGCCTTTGGGCTCTAGGATTTCGGGTTCCGGGTCTTCTGACCGGCGCCGGCCCTTCAGGAGACCCTGACATGAGCCCCCCCCCAAACACCAAACCTCGATCCGAGGAAGAGCCTAAAACTAGGGATTTTCGAGCAGCCGTTTCATGTTGTGTACTTATGACGGGCTGGCAACCGAAACAAGAAAAAGCACATGTCTGAAAACCCGAAGCCCGACCCAGGTCAGGATGGGTGGAACCTTGGCGCGCACACAGACACACACCCCAAAACCCTACACTCCAAACCCTAAACCCTAAACTCCAAACCCTAAACCCGAAACCCTATAAATCGAACTTCTGGCAGGTGGCGGCCCACTGTGCCATGCTTCTCAGCGCCCATGCCCTGATCGATAAAGACGGCCTCTCCAAGGAGATGCTTTGCGGCTGAGGGTTTTTTGGGGTTTAGGGTTTAGGGTTTAGGGTTTAGGGTTTGGGGTTTAGGGTTCGGGGTTTAGGGTTTAGGGTCTAGGGTTCAGGGTTTAGCGTGTAGGGTTGAGGGGTTAGGGTTTTAGGGCTTAGGGTCTAGAGGGTCTGGAGGAACCAGTGAGATGTAAGCCTTTTTCCTGCAGCGCTTGCACAAGAACTGCGAAGTGGCCCTAGCAAGCAGAACAAGAAGGACGAACAACGAACCCTAAACCCAAGCTTAGGGTTGAAGCTTTAGGGTTTTAACTTGAAACCCTAAAGCCCTGAACCCTGTATCAAAAACCCTGCTCAGCCTGAAGAGGCTGGGATTGAGACCTTTTCCGTTTCTCAAAGAGACGAAAACTTGGCTGCACTTAAACTGAGGAGGGCAGCTATAAAGTAAAACTTTAGCTGCCTTGCTAGGAAACCCAAGAAACCCAAGAAGGCTAAGGATCTAAAGTTACAGTAAAGCACCACAAAGAAGAAAGGAGGTACTAAACCCTAAACCCTAAACCCTAAACCCTAAACCCTAAACCCTAAACCCCTCTTTCTTATATATATTTAAACCCTATAGTCCTTCGTGGCTAAGGGTCATTTCTTCGTGGCTAAGGGTCATTTCTTCGTGGCTAAGGGTCATTTCTTCGTGGCTAAGGGTCATTTCTTCGTGGCTAAGGGTAATTTCTTCGTGGCTAAGGGTAATTTCTTCGCTAAGGGTAATTTCTTCGTCGCTAAGGGCAATTTCTTGGTCGCTAAGGGCCATTTCTTCGTGGCTAAGGGTAATTTCTTCGTGGCTAAGGGTAATTTCCTTCGTGGCTAAGGGTAATTTCCTTCGTGGCTAAGGGTAATTTCTTCGTGGCTAAGGGTAATTTCTTCGTGGCTAAGGGTAATTTCTTCGTGGCTAAGGTTAATTTCTTCGTGGCTAAGGGTAATTTCTTCGTGGCTAAGGGTAATTTCTTCGTGGCTAAGGGTAATTTCTTCGTGGCTAAGGGTAATTTCTTCGTGGCTAAGGGTAATTTCTTCGTGGCTAAGGGTAATTTCTTCGTGGCTAAGGGTAATTTCTTCGTGGCTAAGGGTAATTTCTTCGTGGCTAAGGGTAATTTCTTCGTGGCTAAGGGCCACTTCCTTCCTGCCATCCCACCCCCCCCCCCCCCCCACCCCCCCCCCCCCCCACCCCCCCCCACACCCCCCCACCCCCCCCCACCCCCCCCACCCCCCACCCCCCCCCCACCCCCCCCCGGGGTAATTTCTTCGTGGCGAAGGGAATTCTTCATGGCTAAGGGAAATTTATTCTTCGTGCCGGCCCACCCCCCCACCCCCCCCCCCCCCCCCCCCCCACCCCCCCCCCACCGCCCCCCCCCCCACCCCCCCCCCCCACCCCCCCCCCCCCTTCCCCCCCCCCCCCCCCCCCCCACCCCCCCCCAAACCAAAACCGACGGTTTCAGGATTTCTTGTCCCGCCCCTCCATTGGGGGCCGATGAAATGGTTCGTGGGTAGGATGGTCCATGACGGAGTGAGCTTGGAGGACAGGGCTTGCTGATAAGAAATGTAAACTTTGTATTTTCTTAATGTTTTGGGATTCTCTGGGTGGGTGGGTTTTTTTCCGTTGCCTACACACACTGCTGGCCTAGTAAATGCTCGAACTTGAGATGCTGAACCCTAAACCCTAAACCCTAAACCCTAAACCCTAAACCCTAAACCCTAAACCCTAAACCCTAAACCCTAAACCCTAAACCCTAAACCCTACCTTTAGAAGGGTCCTCGGGGTCCCTCCTTGCACCCCTTATGGTTCAGGGCTGGCCAGGGAAGGAGCCTCGCAGTCATACTTCATTCCATCCGGGTAGGTCACCTTCCATCCGCCCCCAGGGTCATGGGGTTCAGAGCGCTTGGATTACCGGAGGGTGACAGAAAGAACTAAGTAACTCTAACCCCTAAACCCTACACCCTAAGCCCTAAAACCCTAAATCATAAATCCCAAATCCTAAATCCTGGATGCTATGCTCAGATAGCTGCAGGAGTTCGGCCTTCCAGCCTCTCGTGACTCCCCTACACCCGGAACCACAAATCAGTTAAGGGGTTTAGGGGTTCAGGGGTTCAGGGGTTAAGGGGTTCAGAGTCCTTGGCCCTCATCCCATACGTGTCAGTTCAGGAAAGGAGGGGGACTCGACAGGGCCAAAGAAAGCTGAGAGGGTCTGTTCTAGTTTCTTAAATAAAGGTTCACTGAGGGTCCGCTGACGGATCTCTCTTTTGCAGTATGTATGTTCAAGGGCCGCTAAACCCCTAAAATCCTAAAGCCTCAACCCCAAAATGGGGGGGGGGAGGTCAGGGTCCAGGGTCCCCTTGACTCAATTTGGGCAGGATCCTTTTTGTTGAAAGCCCTAATGTTTTGGGATGTGCGCCTGTCCGGGGGTTGGGGGAGGGGGGGGGGGGGGGCTTGGCCATCCTTCCAACCCCAAACACTACACCCGAAACCCTACGAACCCGAATCCTTCAACCCTACAGTACACCCTGAACCCTAAACCCTGAACCACAAAACCCTAAACCCTAAACCCTAAACCCTAAACCCTAAACCTAAACCCTAATAAAACCCTCTACTTCAAACTCTACTTCCACGGCCGAAGGGGCATCGAAGCGCTCCGCTGACACCCTGTGGGGGGCTTAGGGTTTAGGGTTTAGGGTTTAGGGTTTAGGGTTTAGGGTTTAGGGTAGGGCTCCTACCCTGAACCCCTCTAACACCTAAGCCTTTAACAGCCACTAAATGTTTAGGGTTGAGGGTTTGGGGTTTGGGGCTTGGGGTTTGGCGGTTGGGGTTTGGGGTTTGGGGTTTAGGGTTTAGGGATAAACACTGAACACCCTAAATCCTACAACACCTAACCCTAGAACACCTGTGTAAACCCTATAACACTTAAACCCTGTAACCCCTGGACCTTGTAACCCTTAAACCCAAAACAGGTTTGGGGGCTATTGGGCCTCGGCGTTCTGTGTTGGGGGCCCCCCTTCCAACCCGAACCTGCAACTTGAGAACTGTCACCGAAGCAGGAACTTACTTAAGGCTTAGTTGCTGCGTTCATAAGCCCCCCAAAACGTGTACACTTTCAGTTCTATAGGTAGTATCCCAAAAAGTGTAAAGTGTGTTCACTCAGCTACTAAGAAGGGCTTATATAGGGGTTCAGGGTAAGGGTTTGGGTTTCGTGAGACAATTGCTCCAAGCAACACTTTTCATGTAAGCCCTAAACCACAGAACCCAAACCCCAAACCCTTCATAGAAGCGCGACGGCGTTTCAGGGTTTCGGGCTCAAGTTGTGTTCAAGGTGAAAAGTTTCGTTTGGTTGGGGTTCAGGGCTTGCAAACCCTAACCCCTGAACCCTAAGCCCGCACACCCTAAACCCTAAACCCTAAACCGTAAACCCTAAACCCTAAACCCTAAACTTTAAACCCTAAACCCTAAACCCTAAACCCTCAACCCTCAACCCTAAACCCTAAACCCTAAACCCCAAAGCCGCCTGATGTCATCGTTCTGGTCATGCCCCTCCGGGATGCGTGGCTCCTCCGCGCGGTAGATCTGCACGGTGCCTGCGGTGTCGGCCTAAACCCTAAACCCTAAACCCTAAACCCTAAACCCTAAACCCTCAACCCTAAACCCTAAACCCTCAACCCTAAACCCAAAAACTTCAGCAAGACAGGGGTCCTCATGCATCAAGATGTAAGGAAGACTCCTCATACTTATGCGGCTAACTTGAACTCTGGGAGCACTTAGGGGTTTGGGGTTCAAGGGTTCAGGGGTTCAGGGGTTCAGGGGTTCAGGGGTTCAGGGGTTCAGGGGTTCAGGGGTTGAGGGATTAGGATTTGGGTTTTAGGGTTTTAGGGTTTTAGGGTTTTAGGGTTTTAGGGTTTTGGGTTTAGGGTTTAGGGTTTAGGGTTTAGGGTTTAGGGTTTAGGGTTTAGGGTTTAGGGTTTTAGGCAGGCGGAGCGACCCGAGACATGCGGGGAGGGCAAGGTTGGGGTTCAGGGCGGGGAACTGAGAGGGGTGTTTCCCAAAATAGGGGGCACAACCCTAAACCCTAAACCCTAAACCCTAAACACCCTTTAGACTAGAATCCCTTAAAAGGGATCTCCAAAAATGGTACCCCCCCCCCCCCCCACCCTCCCCGCCGGTTTCGGAACCGGGTGCGGATGGATGTGTTATAATTGCGGCTGTGTGGCTGCTGAACTAGGGTTCAGGGTTCAACGTTCGGGCTTCAACCCTACACCCTAAACCCCAAACCCTCGACCCTGAACCGACAACTCCCTAAACCCTAAACTCTCAACCCTGAATCTCACAACTCCCCAAGCCCTAAATCCTAAACCCTAAACCCTAAACCCTAGAATCCAGCCTCGATGATGATCGTTGTTGCCCATGTCCTTACTGTCCAAACTACAGTGGGGCCGACTCTGGGTGTGCTCAGGGTTGCTAAGTCGAAGTGCAAACTACACCCTAAACCCTAAACCCTAAACCCTAAACCCTAAGCCCTAAACCCTAAACCCTAAACCCTAAACCCGAATTTGTAGATTGTGGGCTAGGCAATGAGGAAGAGTGAGGAGAACTTTCGGCAGAAGAGGCATTGCAAGAGGGTGCTGGGCTTTCGGGCTGTAAGGGGATAGGGTTGAGGGTTTAACCCTAAACCCTAAACCCTGAACTCTACACCTTACGTAGGAGGGATAGAAAAACGTGAACATCGTTGCAGGCTGCGGTAGGATTTAGGGTTTAGAGTTTAGCCCTGAACCCTATACCTGTTGGGGTCCTTACTATAAGCAGATCCCATTCTCGGGGGGTGTCTATATTAGGGGTCCCTGATTATCGTAAACTCCCATGGGGCTTTGAGACGTCCAGGACTTCAGGGGTCAGACTTCCCTACGGAGGGTTTAGGGTTTAGGGTTTAGGGTTTAGGGTTTAGGGTCTAGGGTTCAGGGTTTAGGGTTTAGGGTTTAGGGCTTAGGGCTTAGGGTTGAGGGTTTAGGGTTTAGGGTCAGCAAGCACAACAACAGCAACGTTCACGGCGCCGAGGTGCCGCGATGTAGATGTACGACTTGCCAGGCTCCGGCCCTGAGGTTCATGTGTCTTCGGGTTGGCGCGGGTTTAGAGTTTATAGGTTTAGGGTTTAGGGTTTAGGGTTTAGGGTGTAGGGTTTAGGGTTTAGGGTTTAGGTTTAGGTTTTGTGGCTTTATAGGGTTTAGAGGGTTTATGGCTTTATAGGGTGTATAGGGTTTATGGCGTTATAGGGTTTATAGGGTTTATGGCTTTATAGGGTTTATGGGGGGGTTTGTAGGGTTTAGCGGGTTGGTGGGTTATGGGGTTTATAGTGATTAGAGGGTTTATAGGGTGTATAGGGTTTAGAGGGTTTAGGGTGTGGAAGGGGGGGAGGGGTGCAAATCTTCATACCCTCTGTCGGGCTGCACTCAACATTCCAAGTCGGGGAAACATTTGGGGCCATGGCTCATTCAAAACACCTGCTGATCTCAGTACTGGCACTGATATCCGAGGTTTAGGGTTTAGGGCTTAGGGCTTAGGGTTTAGGGTTTAGGGTTTAGGGTTTAGGGAAAATAAGGAAGGATTGGCCCGACCTCTGACCGAACTGTGCGACACATTTGGGGGTTTCACGAAATTTGGTGCCTTATTCGGGTCCTTAATAATAAGGGAATCCTACTCTTTGGGGTTCTATCGTAGGGGTCCCCTATTTTCGGAAGCCCTCATTTAGAGGAACCGGTAGGTTGCATTATCGACACTGAATGCATTCAAGGACCTCACATTACTGCCACAACTGCAGGGTTTCGTCCAGTCCCTCAAAGCCATCCCCAAACCTAAGCCGCAATCAGACCCCAAACCCTAGACCCAAACCCTAAACCCAATTTAAACCCCATAAGCCCTAAACCCCCAAAACCCTAACCCCTTCCACCGACTAGCTTGTTGGGCCCTAAGGGTTGTACCTTGGACCCTCAAGGTTGCACCCTTGGGTTCTGGCGAGACTTTTTGGAGATTTTTCAGGGTAGTATAAGGGCCTCATTAGGAACATGTTAAGGGGAACCTTTAAGGGCCACGTTAGGAACCTATTAAGGGGAACCTTTAGGGGCACAAACTTAGAAACCCTAAACCCGAAACCCGAAACCCTAAACCCTAAACCCTAAACCCCAAACCCCAAACCCTAAACCCTATCCCTTGGATGGGCCTGGGCCGACGGCCACGTCCTCCCAGTCGTCATGCCCAGAGTTTTCAATGCGAAGTCGCGCCACCTGGCGCCCCTCGCGCGTGAGGCCGTACCTTAGCCGTAAAGGACACAAGGTTTAGATGGTTGTATAAGGTATAATATGTATATATATATATAGAGTTTAAGTAACTAGTACTGTTATGTAAGGTTTGCGTAGGGTGTATATAGGGTTTATATGGCTTGTTCGGTAGGGCTTGCAAGGTTTAGGGCGTTCAGCGCGGCATCATTGTGTTTTGCGGGACCGAGCCCCCTTCGGAGAACGAAACTCAGGTAACTCGTAGACTTCAGACACCAGAGTAGGTGTTGCATACTTTGAACCCTGTAGGGCTCGTATTTGTAGCCATTTTAATTTGTGCATACGTCTCTATTTCTATGCCACAAAAGGAACTAGAAATAAAGATCCATACAAGCTTCGAGCTTAGCAACTTAGACACTCCAAGTTAGAGTTTGTTTCAAGGTGCAGGACATGCGGCATCGGCTGCGTCCTAAACCCAAAACCCTAAACTCTACACTGGGGTAGGCTGGGGGGCCTTGACTTTATAAAAGTAGTATGTAGGGGTTAAGGGTACTGAACAAGAAAATTAAATGTTCAAACCTACCCCTCAGGGACAGCCGAAAGCCCAAACTTACCCTGTAAGGCACCCGAACTCCGAAAAGCCCCTAAACCCTAGACCGTAGACCCTAAACCCGAAACCCTAAACCCTAAACCCTAAACCCTAAACCCTAAACCCTAAACCCTCCCAGTGCTGACCCAAGCCCAAGCGTCAGCTTCGTACCGTCACCGGAGTCGTTGTTGACCTTGGCGGGAGGGGGGAGGGAGGCGGAAGACGGGGTGGATCTCGAAGGGGTTCTAGCGTTGAATTGCTAGAAATCCTAGACCCTAAACTGCCCGAAACCCTGAACCTCCCTAAATCCCTGAACCCTACATCCTGAACACCTATGTTGGGAGATGAGAGGCAAGGATTCCCCTGAAGGTAGCCCTAGAAACCCTGAACCCCATCAACCCTCTATACTCTCTACTGATGTATTGTGTGCCTCTTCTATGAAGTATAGGGGATTAGAAAGAAGCCTCACATAAGTCTCCTCGAAAGGGAATGGTCCTCTGCCCTCTTGAAAGGGTTCTGAAGCAAGGGCCCTTGAGTTGTAATGTTGTACCTGCTTGAGTGTGTGAGGGGCCCCCCCTCCCCGCAGAACAGTCGAAGCTGTTGTTGTCTCTGTTACACAGTCCGGGGATTTGTAAACGGGGCAGCGATACCCGGAAATTGATTTTAAAGGCGCGATGCGTGGGACTTTCCTATGGCGCCCGGTCGATTTGACTTAACTCAGGATTCCACCGCGCAGCCCCGAACAGTCAGGGTGTCCTGAATAGCCCAGCCAACCTGACTTGATAGAGGGGGAGCCCCACTAAAGCAAGTGCAAACTTACTAGGTAAATAAGCTGTACATAAGGGGTCCTCCTTTAAGGAGCCCCTATAATCCCTAAACTCTAAGGGCTGCCCCTTTTCAGGGCTTCAAGGGGGACCACGAAACCTAAACCCTGAACCCTAAGGGGTCCCGTATTAAGGGACCATGCAACTACCCTTAAGCTCCCCACCAGAAACTGTCCCAGACTGACGTTGGCCCCATTTTAAGATGTTGGATTGCTAATTCGGGTTTCAGGGTTTTAGGGTTTTTGGGTTGTAGGGCTTTTTTGGGTTGTAGGGTTTTAGGGTTTAGCTCAGGTGCCCAGTAGACACCGCGATTCACGCGGCTTGCCGCAATGCCGGAGCACTCGTTCACCTGGCCGCGTCACCAAATTCTGGTCGCGTTTCGGCCAGGGTTAGGGTTTTGCGGTTTTTGCGTGGCCAACAAAGGGACCATGGGCCCAGCTAGAGCCATCAATTCAAGCCATCAAGAAATAGCAAAGACGCTCCCTAAACCCTCAACCCTAAGCCCTAAACCCGAAACCCTAAACCCTAAACCCTAAACCCCACAAAAACTCAGGAGCAAAAATAGCTTCGACTGTTCTGGGGGGGGGGGGGGGGGCAACACGAAAACAGGTGCAACATTATGGGGTTTGTAGGGCTATATGGAGTTTCTAAGAATGTCTAGGGGGTTTATTACGTGTATGGGGTTGTAGGGTTTACAAGGTTTGCAAGGGTTTCTAAGGGTTTCTGAGGGTTTATATTCACTCTGAAAAGGACGGTAGGATACTTCGCCAGCAAAGCCGAAGTCAATGCATCCAAGCCCCTAAACCCTAAACCCTAAACCCTAAACCCTAAACCCTAAAGCGTCCGGTTCAGCAGCCCTCAACTCCTTCAAGCGTGCCCTCCATGGGGACCACTGACGAACTCCTTGGATCGCCTCCGAAACCGTAGTCCCCAATGAAGGTGGCACCAGGAAATTCAGCATGGTTCCTCTCTCATTGGCCCCTCCCGGCTGATAAACCGTCAAGAGTTTGTAGAAAATCAACGTGGAGCTGAGATGCCCAATCTCCGTTTTCGGCCGGTTTGTGGGTGTATAAAGGTCTATAGGGTTTCTAAGGGTGTCTACGGGTTTTCGGTCTTTGTAGGGTTTACAACCCTAAACCAGAATTAGGGTTTACATATAGGCATCTCTGAGATTTTGTGGTTCCCCTGTGGTACCCCAAGATATTTCCGAAAGGACTCCACCCAAAACCAAACAAATGTATACGTATAGTAAGACAACAAATACATATTAGACAGAAAAGCTAGGGTTTAGGGTTTAGGGTCTATGGGAAACCCTCGTAAAAATACTCTAAACCAACAATCCCTTGAAACCCAAAACCTCCTACAACCCTACATTCCTAAACCCTAAACGCCCTAAACCCTAAACCTTGGCCTGTGAAGTCTGCACGTTCCCGAAGCTCTCGCCGGCCTGCCGTTGGAGAGCTATGTGGGGCTTCCGATGGCGTTTAGGGCTTGGAGTTCAGGGTTTTCCTTTGGGGGAGGGTTCCTTATACTGTTGCGCGGCACACTATGGACCCGATTTGGGGAAATATCCATGTAGCTGCCAAGGCTTTATGTGGGCTTAGGGCTCAATAGGGTGGAACAAACATTGGCAGATTTCGGTCTTTTTGGGTATACAGGCTAACCCTAAACCCTAAGCTCCAAAGATACTCTGACCTTTCTACACCCCCCCCCACCCCCACCCCCCCTGCCCAGCCCCTAAGGTGAGAGAACGGCGGTCAAGCCTCAAGCTCGAAACCGCGGACCCTAATCCTCAGGTCTCATACGTAGGTTCACAAGAAAAGCCACCCCACCCCGATGCTGAAGCCCTCCACCCCACCTGAAGAACGCCAAGGTGCAGAGAGGACTTGGGGTTCTGCTTGGGGATCAAGCTTCTGCTGCCCAGAACCCTAAACCCTAAACCCTAAACCCTAAACCCTAAACCCTAAACCCTAAACCCTAAACCCTAAACCCTAAACCACAGGCTTTGGAATGCAAGCTGAACCCAAAGGAGGCCTCGAGAACCCCCTGAACCCCAAAAACTCCAAGCTCCAATACCGAAGCACAAGCATCTGGGGTGCCCCCAAAATCAGGAACCCTAAACCCTAAACCCTAAACCCTAAACCCTAAACCCTAAACCCTAAACCCTAAACCCTAAACCCTAAACCCTAAACCCTAAACCCTAAACCCTTGGCCCCACCTGCGTCGTGGGGCACTGCAGGAGCTTGCGTGTTGCATCCTCTCTCGTGATCCCTACGAGGATCCAGGTATCGGTGCAGTACACGCATGGCCCTAAAGCCACTTTAAAGGAAACCCCCTTTAAGGAGCAAGTATGTACCATATAGGTTGGGATGTTCCCCCCTATGCTAACAGTCGGTAGTAGGGACTCTAATCCCTGAACCCTAAACCCTAAACCCTAAACCCTAAACCTCAGGTTGGGATCCCTATTAAGGGCACCTGTTAGTATACGGGGGAACATCCCCAATGTATAGGTAGGTGGACAATGAAGGCTCTTGTGTACAGCAAAAGCTCGATGAGTTGGCTTAGGGTTTAGGGTGTCGGGTTTGTATAGGGTTTAGGGTTTGGGTTTCGGGTTTGGGGTTTCGGGTTTGGGGTTTAGGGTTTAGGGATACTCTGCAAGAACAATATTAACAGCACTGCTGCAAAAGCAGTCTTGCTCCGCCAGGTAGGTCGCATGGAGAGCGCTAACCCGCTAACTAAACCCTAAGCTCATTGGGCATCGCAGGGATGATTGGCAGTTTGGGCTAAACTCAAAATCCAAAACCCTAAGCCCTCAACACTAAACCCCAAACCCTACCAGACTGAACTCCCCCTTCCCTCTTCCCCCCACCCCCCCCCCCCTCCCTCCAAGCCCATCCCGTCCTGGTCATCGGCGGCCACCTCGTTTGGGGCCTGCCAAATCAGACCTTGGCTCTCTCAAAGGAGGTTGCAGGAGTATCTCTTAGGGTTTAGGGTTTAGGGGTTTAGGGGTTTAGGGGTTTAGGGGTTTAGGGGTTTAGGGGTTTAGGGGTTTAGGGGTTTAGGGTTTAGGGTATGTACATATATATACATACATACGCATGCAAGTTAATGTGAAGTTTAAACGCACTTCTTGGGAAATAGCTTGGGGTTTGCATGGGCTTATAGGTGAACGGATGATGGGAGCAGTATTTTGATTAGCTAACATAATATATAGGATGCTTAAACCACCTAGACCCTAAGACCCCAAGCACCAAGCCCTGACCCCAAACTCAAAACCCTAAGCCCTCAGCCCTAAACCCGAAACAACCCGAAACCCTACTTGTAGTAGAGGGCTATATTATGACACGAACCCTTTGGCTGGCCTCGGCCAAGAACGGGATCCAGGGTCCACCGTAACAGTAAGTAAGAACCAAATCCTAAACCCTACCCTAAACCCTAAACCCTAAACCCTAAACCCTAAACCCTAAACCCTAAACCCTAATCCCTATAAACCCTAAACCCTAAACCCTAGACCCTCCAGACCGAGCCCCTTGAAGCACTGAGCTCTCAAGCTCTCAAGCTTTCGAACTCCCCGAAGGGGGTTCTCTCGCAAAAATGGGCCCCTTCCTGTGTTGGAAGCCCTTGGACCTAAAACCCTAAAACCCTAAAACCCTAAAACCCTAAAACCCTAAAACCCTAAAACCCTAAAACCCTAAAACCCTAAAACCCTAAAACCCTAAAACCCTAAAACCCTAAAGCCCTAAAACCCTAAAACCCTAAAACCCTAAAACCCTAAAACCCTAAAACCCTAAAACCCTAAAACCCTAAAACCCTAAAACCCTAAAACCCTAAAACCCTAAAACCCTAAAACCCTAAAACCCTCAAACTCTAAAACCCCGAAACCCTAAACCCCTAAAACACTAAACCCCCTAAAACCCTAAAAGCCTAAAACTCTAAAGCCCTAAAACCCCAAATCCTACATGTACGAACCCCCCAAAGCAGACCACAACTTCAAACCCTAAACCCCATAAACCCGAAAAGCCCTACAAACTATAAACCCAAAAAAAAATAAACCACACATATGATAATGCGAACCCCCACACCAGACCATGACTTCGAGAAGTGCCCCCCCCCCCAACAAAAATGCTAGAAGCCCTTCGCAAGCTTCAGGTGGCCCAACTACTTTAAAGGAGCCCCTTGGAGCGGTTTAGAGTTAGGGTTTTAGGGTTTAGGGTTTAGGGTTTAGGGTTTAGGGTTTAGGGTCTAGGGTTTAGGGTTCAGGATTTAGGGTCTAGGGTCTAGGATTTAGGGTTTCCAACAGCTAAACGCTGTGCCAGCTGCCAGTACACGGCCCCACGGCCACGGCCAGCCAGGCAAGCGCTGCCTTCAGAAGGGTTTAGGGTTTAGGGTTTAGGGTTTAGGGGTTAAGGTTTTAGGGTATAGGGTTTAGGGTTTAGGGGTTAAGGTTTTAGGGTTTAGGGTTCAGGGTTCAGGTTTGGGGTGCAGGTTCAGGATTTGTCCATAGCAAGTGTTGCCTACCAGAGACTGCATATGCAGGAATGACAAGCTCTGCAATGCTGGTTTGGGTCCACAGAGTTGACATTCATGAGGGTTTGGAGGGTATTGGGTTGACGCAAAAAGTATGCATTATATATATATATATATATATATATATACACGTACATGTGTATATATATATATATGTACTTACTCATGTGTATATATATATATATGTATATATATATATATATGCACTTACTCATGTGTGTATATATATATGTATGCATGCCGAGGCGACGTTGGGCTGTCTTGCCCGTTTTGGGGCCCTCCCCTCTCTCAACCCCTAAAGCCCCGGAACCCCGAGACCTTTTCAGACTCCTAGACCCGTCTCTAAGGGCCTTAATAACTAGAATAGGGTTTTGGGGGTTATCATAGCATAATTATACTACTTATTCCGACTCCTACAGCACACCCCAAAACCCTAAACCCCTAAGATTCCATGAACACAAAGTCGAACACCCAGAGGGAGGGAATGAGGTACCCTACCCTACATGATCCCTTAAAGGGTATGCATAATGTATACCCTTCAAGGGGTTATATAGGGTACATGCTCCCTTAATAACCGAAACCCTAAACCCTAAACCCTGAACCCTGAACCCTAAACCCTAAACCCTAAACCCCACAGGTTCGGGTTAAACAGCCGCACATGCAAGCCTGGAGCTGGCGCTTCATTTTCCCGACATTAGCAAGGGCATCATCCGGCGCATTAGCCTCTGCCGAATTGAGCCAAGCTGAAGATGGCGGCAGCAATTTTTCTGAACCCTGTAAACCCTAAACCCTGAACCTTGAACCCTGAACCCTAAACCCTGCACCCTAAACCCTAAACCCTGAACCCTAAACCTTAAACCCTAAACCCCACACGTTCGGGTTCCAGCCGATGCAGGATCTAGGTTCAAGACCTGAGGTTATTCCAGGGGTTGCCGAGAAAAGGCCCCATGCCCCTGAGGTAGCCTATACAGGAGGTCCTTTAGGGTTTAGGGTTTAGGGTTTAGGGTCTAGGGTTTAGGGTCTAGGGATTAGCCTAGTAACCTCAAGGAAAGGGGTGCCCCTCTCATTGTTTGGGGGTCATATGCGGTTTATGGAGGATGATGGAAGGTTACCACTGGGCATCCTCGCATGATGAGGCCCTTCATGGAGGCCTCTCAAGGGTGTAGTGCCCTAAACCCTAAACCCTAAACCCTAAACCCTAAACCCTAAACCCTAAACCCTCAAGCCTAAATCCTCAACCCTAAACCGACACTGGGAGAGACCCCCAAGCAAAGACCTTCCATCTCTTTCCAGACAACCCTAAGTTCCGAATACCCACCCCGGGTCGGGGGTGTGCGCGTCGTGTGCAGATGTGTGCAACGACGACGGGTTTTGGGTTTTAGGGTTTAATGTTCAGGGTTCAGGGTTTAGGGTTCAGGATTCAGGGTTTAGGGTTTAGGGCTTAGGGTGTAGGGTTTGGGGGAGACCACAGTATCCTCAAAGCTCGGAGTTCAGGGAATCCGGGAAGATCCGAACGACCCATGTCGGTAAGAAGCCACATGCGCCTTAGGCAAACAGGCTTTCCAGGGCTTCCAAGTTGATCCGGTTCGATTTGACCTGCCAAGCATGGTTTAGGATTGAGGGTCTAGGGTTTAGGGTTTAGGGTTTGGGATTGAGCGCTTGGGGCTTAGAGCCTAGGGATCTACGCTCTTTGGCTGAGTCTTTGGCAATGTGGGCTTAGGGTGTAGGGTCTCGGGCATCGCGCGGTGCCAGCCGCAGGAAATACCACGTGGCACCATCAACATGCCCATGTGTGTGCGGAAGACTGGAACGCCCCAAGCTTTAGACCCGACCCAGGCCTGAATCCCTAAACCCTAAACCCTAAACCCTAAACCCTGAACCCTAAACCCTAAACCCTAAACCCTGAAGCCTAAACCCTAAACCCTAAACCCTAAACCCTAAACCCTGAAGCGATATTGCCTTGGCCTTCTTGGTGAGGCCGATTAGGACGGACCTCGCGCAATCACCCAGAAAGCCTAGACAAAGTTCTCCGAGTTGAGGGCTTAGTGTTTCGTTTAGGGTTTAGGGTTTAGGGCTTAGGGCATAGGGCTTAGAGTTTAGGGTTTAGGGTTAAGGGTTTAGGGTTTAGGGTTTAGGGATTAGGGTTTAGGGTTTAGGGTTTGGGGTTTGGGGTTTGGGGATTAGGGGTTTAGGGTTTGGGGTTTAGGGTTGTAGCTAGGGTTTATGTTGGGGTTTTAGGGGTTTCCTGAACTATTCAAAATACGTGTTTGCACAAGAACGCGGACTGGTGCATGGCCCAGGTTCCCCCCAATGCAACCCTCGAAATCGAAGAGGGGCGTGCCGTTTTTCATGGAGTTCAAGATGAGGGTTTAGGGTTTAGGGTTTAGGGTTTAGGGTTTAGGGTTTAGGGTTTAGGGGTTGCCCACCATGGTTCCATAATGAGGAATACCCGTTTACTCTGAGTCCCAGGGTGTCCCATAAAAACCAGGGTAAGACACTTTCCCCCAAGGGTCCACACACCTAGAATAGTATACACTTGGGGCATAGAAAGGGTTCCCATGTAGTAGGCTTCGAACCCTAAGCCCTAAACCCTAAACCCTAAACCCTAAACCCTAAACCCTAAACCCTAAACCCTAAACCCTCCCCCAACACCCAGACCCTAAACCCTAACGCCCAAACCCTCAACCGTTTAGGGTTTAGGGTTTAGGGTTTAGGGTTTAGGGTTTAGGGTTTAGGGTTTAGGGGTTCAAGGTTTCGCGCCCTGGCCGAGGTCCTTACTGCGTGCAGCTGGACACGGAGGTTCGCCTTGACGCCCCGTGGGGCGCCTTCCTGAGACACCTACGACTCAACCCTAAACCCTAAACCCCAAACCCCAAAGCCTAAACCCTGAAACCGCAAACCCTAAACCCTAAACCCCAAACCCTAAACCCTAAACTCTCCCGGGACCTCATGATTATGTCCTTCAGGGTTTGCCCAGCATCATACTTCCAGGAACCTCACTAGCCCAAGATTGTGCCCACAAGGGGTCTCCCAGCATCCAAGAGAAGCCCAAATCAGGAGAAACTTTGAACCTCTAAACCCTAAACACTAAACCCTAAACCCTAAACCCTAAGCCCTAAACCCTAAACCCTAAACCGACTTCATGGGCAAACTGCACCTCAGGCATTTTCCGGAGCACCTTGACTCCAAAGGTATACAAGCCAAAAGCGTGAGATTCTTGGGAGTCGACGAGATGCGGCTTTTACGCTACAGGGTTTAGGGTTTAGGGTTTAGGGTTTAGGGTTTAGGGTTTAGGGTTTAGGGTTCAGACTTTAGGGTTTGGGATTTAGTGGTTTAAGATCACGGCTGCGCGTCTTTTTTGATCATGTGACAGGGAGCTTTGCTGTCAAGAAGCCAAGGCTTCTGCGTTCCGTAGGGTCCGAGACGAACCCAGAAGTGACAGCGTTTAGGGTTTAGGGTTTAGGGTTTAGGGTTTGGGGTTTGGGGTTTGGGGTTTAGGGTTTAGTGCTTTTTATCTATGACTTACTTCTCCACTAACCGAACCAAGGGGGGGAAACAGGTTGAACTTTATTGTTCAAAGCTCAACGACTGGCTAAGTAAGATGAGGGAACCCGATCCCCAAGACAAGGGAGTCTCATGGGTTCGCGTGCTACCCCCCTCTATACTACCCCCCTAGGTAAGGCTTAATGATCCCTACATAGCCTGAATTAGGGGGGGGGGGGGGAACATAGGTGGGGGTAGGAAAGAGGGGGGTAGCAGGGGAACCCATGGGAGTAGCAAGGAGTCGCTAATGTCCCAGATCGAAGGCGAATTTGAGGGTTTAGGAACCCTGAACCCCCCCCAGGGCTTCGGGTTTAGGGTTTAGGGTTTAGGAACCCTGAACCCCCCCCCCCCCCCCAAAAAAAAAAAAAAACAAAAAAAGAGAGGACCTTGAGGAGCTGCCGTTCGTCTCGCTGGCGGAGTCGGCGTGGCCCTCCGATGCGCTGGCAGCCTCCAAGACTGCCCTAGACCGTTTAGGGTTTAGGGTTTAGGGTTTAGGGTTTAGGGTTTAGGGTCTAGGGTTTAGGGTTTAGGGTTTAGGGTTTAGGGTTTAAGGTTTAGGGGGTTTATAGGGTTGAGGGTTTCGCGGGCTTATGGTTTATAGAGGGTTTAGGATTTAGGATTTATAGGGTTTCGGGTTTAAGGTTTAGGGCTCACGCTTTATGGGGCTTAAGGTTCATACGGTTTAGGGTTGAAGGTTTAGGGCTTAAGTTTTGTGGGGTTTAGGGTTTAAGGGTTAGGGCTTTGGCCACCCTAAACCCTAAACCTTGTAAACCCTGCTTGGAGGTTCATGGTACTTATTAACCAATCATTATCTGTACTTATAACCATATTAGGGCACTTGAGCAGCTTATAAGTGGGCAATAAGTACAATTATAACTGGCCAACAAATACCATGAACCTCCAAGTAAGCCCCAAACCCAAAGCCCTTAACCCCAAACCCCTGTAAATCCTAAACCCTGAAAACCCTGTAATCCCCTAAACCCTATAAACCCAAGACCTCCAAAACCCACTTGGGGCTCAGGGAATTGGCGTCTTGAAGTCTCCGGGATCGACGAAGGCCCTCAAACCTTAAACCCCTAAACCCCTAAACCCGAAGCCCAAAACCCCTGGCACTAAACTCTAAACCCTAAACCCTGAGCCCGAAACCCTAAATCTTCCTATGGTGGTTCCATGTCATGTTTGAAATGCTCTGTTTGTCAGATGGGGTTTAGGGTTTAGGGCTTAGGAGTATAGGGGCTGCTAAGCTCATAATGCACCCGTGATGCAGTTCTCGAACACGTGGGATCTGCGAGCGTGCTGCTCCGCAAAATATGAGAAATTCCTGATAACGGCGCCGAGTTTCACCTATCTTCCGATCTCCAGGACGTCGCCCTCTAATCCATCTCCACGCTCACGCAGGTCATCAATTTGCTCTTGTGTCTCCAGGCATTTCGTGTAGACCGATTTGACCTCCTCTCTGAGCTTGGGGGTCATTGGCTAGCAAACTCGCCGCCTGTTTCAGTTTCTCATAATCCTTGCCAGACACTCTGGCGATGAGGTGCCGGCTTTTCCCAATGGCATGCTTGCCACACGACGCTGTGGCCTGAGGCTTTCGGGACTGGGATTTCTGGTTAAATCTCTTCGACCCGGTCAGAGTTGCCGCGTTCACTTAGAAGGAGGAATTACTGCCGTGGAAACTCGTGTGATTCAGGATGTACTGACTATTTATCTGTACACACACATATGTAATATACATATATATATATATATATATATATATATGCTACCCCCCCCCCCTAAAACCTACCATTTATATGTATTGACACAGAAAAACCCTGTCGAACCAGTAACTGCTGAGGCCCCGGGCGTACTGCAGGCTGTAAACTCCAAACGCGAAACCCCAAGCCTTATACCCTAAAGCTTTAGACAAAAAAACCTGAAACTCTCAAACCGAAACCCGATGCCCAAACTCCACAAGCAGCATGCACTACAAGCTCCTGAGACACTAAGAAACACTCTCAAGCCCAGAGTGTTTTTTCGTCTTCTGCTCTAGTGTTCTCAATACTGCATCACCTCTGGCGCAGCTGCTTGGCAAGGCATGCTGTTTTTGACACGGTTCAACAAGTCTAGCATTTCTACTGGAGTCCGGTTAGCAAGACAAACAGGGCATTTGCCCTCGCAAGTCCAAGGGGCCCAGTTGGGGGCCGCGAGGTGCTTGACATTCACTACAATGTCCGGGTTTATGACGTGGAACAGCTTGGTAAGGAGACATATAAAGGCGACGCTACGGTGCTTGCCTGCGCTACACAATGCAATCATCCTAACTTCACGGTGTGACCATGCACAAGTCGCAGCATACGCCAACACAGCACGAAACCGTTTCATGCGAAGCAACTCAAGCTGGATCTGCACATTGTAGCCGATGTGTCGTGAGAGCTTACGATCACGATTTGGATTGGGAAAGTCCTTGAGGTCGATCTGTGTGGTCGGACGATTCGAACTTGGCACGCGGCTTCGACTGCCCCCCGATAGCAACGACAAGTCTCGTAGCGGAGGATGGTCTGGCTCTTTGACTCGTAACATCAGCGAAGGAGAAGTCGTCGGCTGAGGAGGCTCTGGTTCTTCGACTTGTAGCACTGGTGAGGAAGAGGGCGAGGAAGAAGTCGTCGGCCGTGGATGCTCTGGCGCTCCAACTTGCAGCACAAGTGAGGGAGAGGGCGATGAAGAAGTCGTCGGCTGTGGATGCTCTGGTTCTCTTACTTGTAGCACACGCGGGGAAGAGGTAGTCGGCAATGCTTTCGGCTTGCTCGTTGCTGCAGACTTGGATTGTGTAGCAGGTAGCCGTGGGGATCGACTTCGATCTGGTCTGCCAGCAGACACTCCAGGTGGTGGCACGACGACGAACCTTCGGACCGGAGGTGGTGGCACGATCACGGGCCTTCGGACTGCAGGTGGTGGCACGACAGTAGGAACCCCTACTGGTCGCACACTGACGGGCCTTCGGACTGCAGGTGGTGGCACGACAGTAGGAACCCGCACTGCTTGCACACCAGCTTTCGGCACAACCACGGGAGTATGTGATTGTAACAAACGTCCGGCCGGCAGGGGTCTCGAAGACGAAGAAGCGTTTAGCACTGCTCTCTTCACTCTTCCAGGCAGCAAAGCCATTGCATTGCGCTGGTATCAAAACCTAGTGCCTACACTTTCTGCAGTCTCGGAGCTTCCCTTAACGCCTGCAAGTCCTATTGTCAGTTGGGGTTCAGGGTTGTGGGGGTTTAGGATTTAGGGTTTAGGGTTTATGCCAGTTTATGGTTCAAGGTTCATGAAGTAATGTTTAGGCATCCGAATGCATACAAAAACAACACCATATGATGATGTTGTGTTTTTACCAAAAACTTATGGATAGGCGCTTAAGCCAAACAGGGCCAATCCAGTGCAGCCGAGCAGAGTTGATTGCCAATGCATCTGGGCCGCGCACCTTCATTCCAAGGTGTGAGCGTGTGAGTGCGTGGTTATTGTCCTCTTTAGAGCACGCACCCATGCGTGACTGTTCGTAAAGTAGTAGGATGTATAGGGTTTTGGGTATAGGGTTAGATGCTTACGCTATGGGACTGATGTGCTTATGTATGTACTCCCATGTATATCCACCCCTATAAAAACATGTAAGCACTGTGAAGCTCAAATATAAGCCGAGTACATATCTATATAGGATTTTTTTTGCGGTATATAAAAGGAGTACATACAATGAACTAAGGAATATGGCAAAATTGCATATTCAATGGCTTTCAAACTGAAAATAATATCAGGGTGATGTAGATATGGGCATAGCCATATATATATATATATATATGGTATATAGATAGACATGCATATTATATATTATAAATATGCACATATTCCCCCCCCCCTCCTTCTGTAAAATTTGTAAGCTGTGTATATGGCTATGCCAGCCGTCTATACTGTAGTTAAAATAGTATTCACATACACAATCATGCGAATTCATTCAGCAATTCGCATAATCGCGTATGTGATTGCATAAATATGGTCACGAAACACCTGACGAACGAATAAGTGTAATTGCCCAAGCATAAGATATACATGGTCATGCTATACACGACAAACGAAGAAGTGTACCTGACTAAGCACAAGTGCTTCCACAGTTGCGACGCACTGACGCAATCCTTATCCAACTCTTTCCAGGAATCTTCAGTATTCAATCTTCGGGGCCAAGAGTTTTAAAACTCCTTGCTTAGCCACGAGAGGAGTTTTAAAACTCCTGCCACTGAAGATTGAAGATTGAAGATTCCCCGGAACTCTTTCCAGGAATCTTCAGTCTTCAATCTTCGGGGCCAAGAGTTTTAAAACTCCTTGCTTAGCCACGAGAGGAGTTTTAAAACTCCTGCCACCGCAGATTGAGGATTGAAGATTCCTGGAAAGAGTTCCGGGGAATCTTCAATCTTCAATCTTCGGGGCCAGGAGTGTTAAAACTCCTTGCTTAGCCACAAGAGGAGTTTTAAAACTCCTGGCCCTGCAGATTTTTTTCGGAGTCTTTAAGTATTTATTATTTCGTATTTTATGTATATCTATAGATATATATCCATATATATATATATATATATCCGGCTTCGAATATCGTAAACACGTTTCGACATAGAAAAGGGTATGAAACGGTAGGTTTTTTTTGGGGGGGTACCATATATATATATATGTATATGTAGAGAGAGCTGTGCATATCTCTATATATGTATATACACATACATACCATGCACATATATATATATACACACATGTGTATATATATATATATGTATACACATACACGTACACATACAAATGTCCATTCTGCATGACTTCTACCCTAGACCCTAAACCCTATAATTCCTTTGTTCATACTTGGCCTCTAGCCTAGGGCTCCAAATCGCCCAAGACATGATTTACAGACTTTAGACCCCAATAGAAGTATGATCTGCGCACTTGGAGCATGGGGAATAGGATCAGGGGCGCCCTTGGGGATATAGACCCTCTCAATAAGGTCCCTGTTTGAGAGAGCCAGAGGAGGCTTCAGAAGGGTTCCCTTTTAAGGGTCCCCCTATCCTACCCTAAACCCTGAACCCTGAACCCTGAACCCTAAACCCTAAACCCTAAACCCTAAACCCTAAACCCTAAACCCTAAACCCTAAACCCTAAACCCTAAACCGGGAGAGTACTAGGGCTTACTAGGGATAGCTTTAGGGCTGAACTCCGTGGCGGGGCTCCCCGCCGGCCTTGCGTTCGCTGCTAACCTGGGTCATGTCGCCACAGGGAAACATGGGATCTCTGGGTACCACCTAAGCCCTTAGCTGGATTTAGGGTTTAGGGTTTAGGGTTTAGGGTTTAGGGCTGAGGGGGTTGAGGGTTGAGGGTGTAGGGTTTCAGGGTCGTTTTCGGGGTCGGGGAAACGAAATAACCCATACGCCCTGAACAGACTAACTCTTAAACCCTACACACGCTCCCAAAGCGAGCGTTTTGGGTCCTCGGGGATGAGATTTTTCCCTTTTGAGTCAGAGCCCTAAACCCTAAACTCTGAACACTAAAGCTGTGCGTTGCGTTTGTCTTCAAGAGCAAGAATTGCCTTCAATCCCCCGAAACAGACAGATTTCCCGGGTAACTTCTTACGGTAGTTGCTACGCCTCCATGGGGTTTTAGAGCGATGGGCTGCGACGGACTACGACTCAGATGTGCCCAACATGTGCCATGAGCTTCGATGCCCGGCTTCTGTGCCTAAAGGTAAGTAGCTACACTCTGAAACCCATAAACCCTTAACCCAGCATCTCCAGGCTTTGGGAATGAGGGTTTAGGGATTTTGGGTTTAGGGCGGCACGACTGGGTGTTTTAGAAGCTGCACGCGGCATACATCTGAGCGCCCCAATTCCAAGCGCTTCACAGCCCTTTTCGAAGTTGCTAGGGTTTAGGGTTTAGGGTTTAGGGTTTAGGGTTTAGGGTTTAGGGTTTAGGGTTTAGGGTTTAGGGTTTAGGGTTTAGGGTTTAGGGTTTAGGGCTGAAAGTTCCAGCAATGTTCCAGGCGCTGTCGGAGATTCAGCAGCTGTTCGACCACAAACCCTGAAACCCTAAACCCTGTTCAAAACCACAACGGAGAAACAAGGGCGTCAACACTAGGGTTTCCGGTTCAGGAATTTACCACACACTTGGGGGCCTTATGGTCCACAACAGAGCCCCCACAGTGCCCCAACATGCGGGCCCCAAAAGAGTCGGAAACTCCTCTATATAGTGCCAGCCGGGGGTAAGCCGCCATGAGCCCATTCATACGAGCGGAACTAGGATTTGAGGGTTTGCGAAATGGTGGGTACCTTATTGGGGTCCTTGTTACAAGGGAATCCTACTATTTGGGGGGGCTCCATTAGGGCCCCCTGATTTTCGTAAACCCTCATTTTTGCTGGGCACACAAATCCGTGGACAAATTCTGTGTAAATCCGAAGTCCCAAAACCGCCGACAGCATCGATCTGTCTTGCAAGTCATATTATAAAAGCCCTACGTATTGGGATGTTCCCCGTTGTACTAACAGTCCTTAAAAGGGGTTACAGTACCCCTATTATAGTCCCTATTAAGGACCCGATTACGAACTGTTCTCACCCCTTTTAAGGACCCTATTGAGGACTGTTCTGATCCCGATTAAGGACCCTGTTAAGGACTGCTAGTCTCAGGGGGAACATCCCAACCTACGCAGTCCAAACTGGGGCCATGCGACATGGTCCCGCATCTTCCGCCGCTTTTTCTGCATCGCAGGGGGGCGTTATAGGGTTTAGGGTTTAGGGGTACATCAAGGTTGTGAGGTCTTAGGCACCCCTACCTTGGGATGTTGCCCCTGATACTGACAGTGCGTAACAGCGATTATGATAGGGGGGACCATAATCCCTATTAAGGACTGTGAGTATAAGGGGGAACATCCCAACCCCTAATTCCCTTCTACGCGACGTATAGCTCTAGAGAGCTGCAAGAGGGACATGGTGAAGAGCAGGTTGATGCAGGTTGCTAGGTCGCGGGGCGAAGGACGTGGTTCCCTAAAGAACGCTTCTGCACGGGGACGTTTCACTTGCATCCTACACCGTCAATCCTTCTGGATATCTTGTGTTAGATGAAAAATATGTGACTAAACTGGGCGTCTCTGGCATAAGATTTGAACAGGGAGGGCGGAGTGAACCCTAGCACCATTCAAGCAGCCACCCACAGAAAGTGGACTTCTATCGCAGATTCTTCCATGCCACATGTGGAGCGCCTGAAGCGATGTCTGCTCTAAACTGAAACTTCTCCGGTCACTGAGGTTTCTTGTAGTCTCTAAGAAAAAAGACAGGAATCCTGATACTTATAAAGTACCTAGGGAGAAGGATGGAGGGCCCCAACCAGCTCTCAACAAGACCTGAGCTTTGAAGCATTGGGCCTGAACGATAAAACACCTCTTGCGACTGAAGCATGTACCTTGGAATCACTAGCACGGAGCCCTAAACCCGAAACCCTAAACCCTGAACCCGAAACCCGATACCCGAAACCCGAAAGCCTAAAGCCTAAAGCCTAAACCCTAAAGCCTAAAGCCTAAACCCTAAACCCTAAACCCCCTCAAAGCTGGCACCTCCAGGCTCCGAACATGCCATTCCTGAAGAGGGGTTCGCAGGAGATGGGGGGTTTAGGGTTTAGGGTTTAGGGTTTAGGGCTTGGGATTTGGGGTTTAGGGCTAGGGTTTAGGATGAAGCTCTCAACTCAACACATTCAGCGTTTCGCGTTTGGGGCTTGGGTTGGGGTTGTGGGATTTAGCTGCCTCTCAAGGCGTCGGCCTCAGCATGTTGACTTGCTGGCCTCATTTCTGAGGTCCACAGGATCCGCAGTTTAGTCCAGAGCCAAGAGTAACTTAGGAATAAAAGCTTTACTTAGAGGAACCTCCAAAAATGCAACAGAATGTAAACATTCGGCTATAGTAACCCTTGAAAAAGGGGGCTATAGTAACCCTTAAAAAAGGGCCAAATGGCAACCCTAAACCCTAAACCACTCTTGCATGTGTAATATACATTGACATGTTAATGACTTTGCGGCCAAGGCCCCTGCAAGGTCATAAAATTTGCGGGCAAGGCCCCTGCAAGGTCATAAAAATAGCGGGCAAGGACCCTTCAAGGTCATGTTGACCTTGTAAGGTCCTTGTGCGCTATTTTTATGACCTTGCAGGGTCCTTGCCCGCTATTTTTAGACCTTGTAGGGGCCTTGCCCGCTATGAATGTGACCTTGCCTGCTCATTTGCGGGCAAGGCCCCTGCAAGGCCAAAAAGATAGCGGGCAAGGACCCTCCCGGGTCTCAAGGGTTTGAGGGTCCCAAGGTTGAGGGTCTCAAGCGTTGAGGGTTCGAAGGGTTTAGGATCAAGGGTTGAAGGTTAGGTTTAAGGTTCAGGACGAGTTTTGGTTTCGTGTGAAAACTTTTTATTATCTTAATGGTATGGGATT